TTTTTTTTTTTTTTGTCTAGGTAGTCAGTCTGCACTTAAATATCAACCATTTTCCTTTTTTGCTTCTTCCCTTAAAATTTATATGTATCCAGTACATTTAATTGAGAAATGTATGTTTTTTATTATGCTGTATTTTCTTTTTATTTTTTAATTATTGTTTATATTTTCAATTATTAAAAAATGTACAAAATAAAGTTTCATTGCTGGTCTTGTAAGAGCTATACAATTTTCCTAAATGTATACCTATAACTGCAGCAGTTCACCTATTTCAAAATTTGGAATTCTGTTCATTTGTTATTCTTAAGACCACCTCAAACTTAAAGGCTACCTTATTGTACGTTTAAAGTGTATTATAACAGTGTGGTAGTTAATAAAACACTATTTTTTTTCTTTTGAGTTTGTTGTATTCCTATGCATTTAAAATATTTGCAGTGGTATGGGGTAAGAAAAATCTGTATGGTTCATTTTTCTTCACCTTTTGTTCACAGATTCTTGATCTCAGACAAATTATTGGGAGAAGGGATATTTACTTGAAAAGGGAGGAGTAGAGGCCCTAGCAGATGACTGATTTTCTCCTGAAAATGAGCTCATTAAATAAAACTTTTGAAAAAAAATCTTTTAATTCTAAGTCCACATTGATTCACATTAATTGTAATAATCCCATTTTGCAAACCTTGTTTTTATTTCCGCAGTTAAAGCAGTGCAGAATATTTTGATTTATTAAAAATGTGAGTTTACATGAAGATTCTTGAAAATGCTAATGTAAGACATACTTTGGTAACCGTGGCACGAGTTGAAAAAGTTATGTTTTGAGTTTGTGTAGGTCTAATCATGATAAGGGCAGAGTGAAAAGGAAAGGAAAAGTTAACATTATGACTGAATTTTGGATATTTTTAAATGAAAAATCCAGTTACTTTCCATGTGTTTACAGTGGGGGTGAAGATTAAGATTCCATTGTTTTCCAGGCCCAGTCTGACACTGTCAATAATATCTTTGAATGCATAGGACAACTCTAGATACACATAGAAACACAGGCAGAGTTTTCTTTCCTAAATGTGAGACTTAAGCTTGTGATGTGAAATAGGCATTATTACTTGAATTATAGAAATTAATGGAATGTACAATTATTTTGAAGTTACAAGGATCAGAATTTGAATCTTTAAGCTCCAGTTAATTTTTAGAAGTTTTTTTATTACTGAAGATGTGTGAAGAGGATTATGTGAGAAGGTTGCTCACTTGAGCAAAATACCTATTAAGTCAGGGGATTAAAAATCTTTCTAGAGTGTGATAGTAGAGATGTTTTTAAATAATATTGAAATTTTACAGTAAGTTTATAGAGTGCTTTTGATCCATGAGTTTCCAAGCATATTTTATCAGTTCTTGGAGCATGAATACAATGAAGAACGTTAAGTAGTCCTAAAAATTATTTACACTTTTAGATTTTAAAGAGTGCCCACTAGGAATATGTCCGTGAGCTGTGGCTCTTTACCTAGCAAAAAGAGTCAGTGTTCAGCCTCAGCCTAGGTCATTTCAAATATTTCTATTTTTGTATTTAAAAGTGCTGAGTATATTGATCTATTTTTTTCTAGTTCTAGAATCTTAGTATTGTGTAAGAGTATATTTCTTAGTGCAAGTATACTCTTTAGTAGGTATTTCATCAATTGCTTTATTTTCGTGAAGGCCTAGAGGGTGCATATTCAGTATATTTACATGCAAATAATTCCTCTTTATCAGAACTATCAGAACGTAGTCACCTAGTCGGGTAGATGTCTGTACTCTGTATACCTCAACTTAAAATACCACAAGAAAATTTTATTTTCTGTATTTTGAGACTTAATGACTTTGAGAAGTAATGCAATTAACCCAAAAGCACATAAAGCTTTAAAGGAATATGTTGCAAAAGTCAGGTGCCCTGTAAGTAACATTGGGCAAAATAGTGAAAATGCTTAAGATACTTCAAAATAGTGGAAATACTTAAATAGTAAAAATATGTGTACTCATAAGTTGAAGGCATGTCAAACATACTTCATAGAAAATCGTTTTTAGCCAGTATTGCATCAGAAAATGCTGGGAGCATTTTAAAACGTCCACAGGTCTTGCTGCATTTTTTACCTAAATCTACATTTCTGGGGATGGAGGCTATATATGTATTTTGTAATAGCTCCGTAAGTGGTTCTGATAAACACTCCTGGGTTAGAATCACTTAAATAGAGCAAGCATCTTTGATCTCAAAATTTTTGTTTTATTAAAAATCTTGTATTCAATATTGCTTGAAATTTGTGGTTATTATTACTAATAGCATTTGGCTTTAACCCTATTAGTAACCGTTTGGTTTTTAGTTTTAATTAAGTTGGTAAGAATGTTTTTAATGTAAAAGAACTATTTGGTTCACCAAATACTATGTTTAAAACTTTTTGCCATAAACGAGTAGCAAGTCTTTTGTCTGATACTGAGCACAAAATGAATTGGTTGATATTTTAGTGAAATTACCTTCTCTAAAGTGTTGAAGACCCAAAGATACTGATTTTGGTCTTTTGGACAGATTGATAAATATATACCAGCAGCGGATGCAACGTGCTCCAGAAATGTAGAGGAGGGAGAATTCTGCATGGAGAGATCTGGGGAAAGGCAGAGGAAATGGCGTCAGGAAAGGCACAGTGTGATTTGTTACACATGACGAGGATTTGTGACGAATGGAGTGGAAGAGCTGGAGGAGGTGGTCAGATTGCAGAGGCGTTCAGAATTTAATTTTTACCAGTGGTTCCTAATCTTTTTGGAATCCTGGGTCTTAGAGAAAAATGCAAGAGCTCTTTAAGCAGTTGGTGAGCAGTTGATCTTTTTAAGCAGTTGGTGAGAGTATTGGGTAAAAGACTGGTTGAAAGCACAGGAGAAGAGGCTATGGAGACAGCAAGCATAGCTCTTCTGTTAAATTTGATGGTAAAGAGAATAAAGGAGGCAGATGCTGAGTAAGGAATGAGAAAATGGAAGTTTCTCATAAAATGGGTACATTTTTATATTAATAAATGTTAACTATAAAAATTTAAGTGACCTCTAAGCTGGAGTTGAAATTTTTTTTTTTTTAAAGTTTATTTTGAGAGAGAGCACAAGCAGAGGAGGGGCAGAGAGAGAAAATCTCAAGCAGGTTCTGCACATCAAGCCCGATGCAGGGCTCAAACCCACAAACCATGAGATCGTGACCTGAGCTGAAACCAAGAGTCAAGACGCTTAACCAACTGAGCCACCCAGGTGCCCCCTGGATTTGAAATTTTTAAAGAACTGCATATGCTGTTAAGTAACATGATTCTTAATCATTTCATCATTATATATTTAAATGCAGTTTTTCGGTATTAAAAGGGTGCCGAATGAGAGGTCTCGGTTTCCTTCAGTCTTTCCCCACTCCCCAGGTTTTAATTCCTTTGTTTCTTTTATAAATCCGTATTAAGCTACCTACTTGATACGTGAGAACAGATAGGTTTCTGACCTTCTTAAAACCTAATTTTCATCATCCACAAAAAGGGGATAACAATGGTATCCCTCATACGATTGTTGTGAGGATTAAAATGTAAGCATTTATCATAGTGCCTCTGGCTTAGAGCAGCAACTCATAATTTTTTCTCCTTCCACATCTGAAGACATTTTTCTGTGGTGAAGGGGACAGTACTTGGGGGTTTCCATTGTTTGTAGTTCATGCATTGATTTTTCTTCTTCAGAAAGAGGGAGTTTTTTTTTTTGTTTTTTTTTAATGGAAAAAAAATATGAAAAGAGAACCATAGAATCTAAATTGCTGGTGGACAATGTCAGTGAAGTGACTGCCCCGTCAGAAAGGATGGAAATAAAGAATGAAGCACAGAAAGTGTCATCTTAAGGAAATTACAACCTGATGTAGAATTCTATCCTATTTTAACATTTCTAGGAACCAACCAGAGAATC